CCGGTGTGTCCGTCAGGCCCGAAGGGGCATTTCTTTAAAAGCTGAGCCGGCAAGGAGGGTTACAGCTCACAGCTCTTTCAGAAATATTTGTCTGGGGTTCTGGGGTTGTGGGGGGGGTTTTTTTCCCCTAGATAAGCTTCGTCTACAAATAAGGACACCCACCCCCAAATTTCTGATTTTTTAAATTAGCAGAGGTTTGTCAGTTAACAGAGACCTCTGTCAGATTCTCGCAATATGTGGCTATCGATGAAATGTAGAAAATCGATGAAATGTATCAAAAATGTAGAAATGAAACTATTTAAGAATTACATTTGTGAATGGATGTTTTAATTATCCTTTTAGGCTATGAATGTTAGATTTTCACTGTCTTATAGTGTATTTTTTTTCATTATATTCTACTATCCATGGAAACTGTAACTGCTTCTTTTTATCTGGGCAAAAATTAACCAAATAACAGGTCAAATTCTGCAGACATTAATTGATAAATGTTTCTATTAAAGCACACTTGAAATTAGGGAGGAGTGCTGTTGAATTAAATGGGAACTTAGTTACCAAATGCAAATCTAGATTTTTTTCCTCCTAACTGAAAAATGAGAGTAATGCAAATTTCCCTGTTTCTTAGTCTAGTTTACATCTGACTTCTGAGTGTAAATTGTAAGGATCTGAGTCTGGAGAGTCAGTGCAAAATTAGTCAGTATGCAGCATTTGCTACACAGTATTTTCTTACAGATTTGTGTAATTTGAGAAATAAATCTATTGCACATCGTCCCAGGAGTAGCAAATAATGTATATTGATAAAGAAAAGAAACAGGGCAACAGTGAAATACCCAGCTGTTACCAAGAGTTCAGTTCAAGTGAAGACAACTAGTTTTTTGATTCAGTTTTTAAAATTTTACTTTAATGACCATCACTAGGCACTTGTATTCTGTAAACTGATTTGGGAAGCTACATAAAAATGCAACCTCTTCAGAAAAAGCCAGTTCTTTGCTTTTCAGTATGGTTTGGTCAAGAAACAGTTTCAGGTCCAGCATGGAAGTTAAAAAGCAGAAGTAGGAAGAAAAGAGACATTAGCCCAGGTGTTACACAGTGGGACAGAAGATGCAAGTTCAAGCCCCTGCTCTATTCAAAGGACAGTCTTTCATAGTCTAGTTAGTGCTCTTATTTTCAGAGCAAGGCTGGCTCTTAGGTGATGATAATTTAATAATTTATAAAAAGCAAAAAAGTCCAGACATTGAAAAAAGACTCGTTAAGAAAAAGTACCTGGTCCCAGATTTTCTGTATTCTGCAACTGCCCTAAGCACCAAGTGTGGAGTCAGTCTCTAGTGTCTGTCTTGTTCAGTAGAAACTCATCTGTGTGCTCTCATGGAAATCTTCAGTAAAATTAAAAAAAAAAAGAGAGCAGTACCAAAAACCAGAAGGAAAATAAGATGGGGAGACATGGCATGTTGCTTCTTAACTCTGGCAGTTTCTTTCTCTATACAGGCTGGAAGAAAACTACATTGTCTGTGAAGGAGTTTGTTTACCAAGATGCATCCTTTATGCACATTATTTAGACTTCTGCAGAAAAGAGAAGCTGGAACCTGCCTGTGCTGCAACTTTTGGGAAGGTAAAGAGTAAATGTCTTCATAATTTGTTAACCTAATTCTTTGATAGCATGATAATTTAGTACACCTGTGTCAAAATGACTCTCAAATTCACGTTTTCTACTGCTAACATACATGGAATCAAACTAACTACACTGTTCCATGTGAAGGGATTTCATGACACCACCTTATAGGAGAGTGAAGCTGAAATTCCCTTTGATTTATTGTTATTTCATATTAAAAAAATGCTTTCTCTCCAGGAGCTTTTTTTTTCCTCTGTTGTTGTCTTCTTTTTTGATGATGGCATTAATAGGGTTCTTTCCACAAAAACAGATCTGACATGGAAGACGCTTTTAATTATACTAAAGGCAGTGTAAAGTGACATGTGACACAAGAAGCAATACAAGAAGGGGAATAAAAATTAATAACACAAAGAGCTCCTGAATGAAAAATTGTTGATTCATCCTCTTTTCTACCCTTCCCTACAATTAATCCTGAAATCATTTAATGAAAGGGAGAGATGTGAACTCTCCAAATTAAATCCTGAGTAGTTAGTGAAACAGGAAACCAAAAATGCTTCAAGGATCATCTTTTTTTAAACACTGCTGATCTAGTAATTGTTCATACATAGCAAAACGCATTAATTTAATTAAATAATAACAATGGATTTAAAATCCAGTTCATAAAATGTTCACTTACTAACTTCTTTCCTCTTGAATTGAATATACTGAGAAAGTGTATGTCTAATTTTCATTACACAGTTTCAGTATAAATGAGGAAGACAGTAGCTTTCCATTTAAACATTGTTTTGACAGTGATCTATCTATTAGATGTATCTACTAGATCGACCGCTATTACTGAATTACTTTTTTACTTAATAAACCTTTTGCCTTAAGCATCATTCTTTACAGGAAGAGTAGGATGTTTTTAGGGCACTAATCTCAATCTCAGGAGTCCAGTGACAGAATGTTTTGCTTGACTTGGATTAAATCACATAACATGAATTCTTTATGTGCAGCATAGAGCTAACAGAAACTTTCATAGGGTTTCAGTGAGCATAAATAAGTGTAAGACTGTCCAGCACTTTGATAGCGGAGGACACAGAAATACCTGTGAGGCAAATATTTGCTTGCTTTAACCTTCAGATCACACTTTTCAAATCGAAAATCAATTTATTTTTTGTTGTTTGACTTTGAAAACAGAATAGCTAGAGGGCAGATCTTTTCCTGGTTCTGTTTAGATCTCTGAAGCAAAAGATGCAGTTGTACTTAGGGACCTGAATGAAACAGGATCCTGGTGAAGAAAATTAGATTTTAAGTTGTAGAAGTGAAAACGGAAAGGAAGAACAGGTGGGAAGGAGTTTATGGGTGGGAAGACTGGAGGTACACAGCGAGATGGACGAGGATGGAAGGATCCCTGCTGTGTAAAACATGCTTACTTGTTTATGTTGTGACATAAGTGTCACAAATATTTATTCATGGACTACATTAGACCATATATTTACACTACGATTTTTCTATGAAGAGATTGCTAAGAAAGTATACCAGTGTTAGAAATTAATACAGTTATTTTCTCTACAGACCATTCGCCAGAAATTCCCTCTCCTTACCACAAGGCGGCTTGGAACAAGGGGCCATTCAAAGTAAGGCACAATTATCTGTGTATCCACTTACAGAATACATTCTAGGAATGACACGTATTTCTATGCCTCCATGATATATACTAATTGGCAGGGGGGTTTATTCAAATGACAAGCTGCAAGTGATAACTTTCATGTATATGATGAAACTGATACAGAGTTTGAGTTTGAAAACATTACTGCAGGCATAATTTCTAAAATTAAACTGATTAAGCTTCTAAAACTTGTCGTTATATTTATAGAGCCATGCATTTGTTGCAAATATATGTCAAAATGTTATATATAAAAAAAATTATATAGTACATTCATCTTTGTTACAGCTGTTCATCTTCCTATAAATAATGTGCAATTTAACTGTGACTTTATTTGCCTTTTGCAAATCTAACAACTTTCATTGTGTTCTCTACATAACAATATGGATTAATTTAAAGACACTAGAAAAAAGCATTATCTTAAACGGAGAAGAAGGTATATGTCTGCTCTTTGTTGTGAGTAGTTTATAAAAACTCTGAAAAGTACACAACCTATAGTGCAGTCATTCCATAAATAATTTTTCCAATTAATACATATATTTGATCCGTGGAATATTAGGCTGTGGGAATAGATCCCAGATAATTATATATCAACTGTGGTGAAATGTTAATTAATTCTGGTTCTGGCATTATGCTTTTGGCCACGATAAAGTTATTGTAAAACTGTGGTGAACAGTGGTAACAACATATTCCCTTACATCCACCCTCCCTCCTATGTCCTGATATCAAGACTGCTGAGGAAGGACTGATGAATTGTACCCAATCTGATTTTGGTTTTTAATAGGGGAATGCTACTTCTTAAGGAAACGAAAAACTGTGTGGTGTACTGATGTAAGGAATGTAGAGAAGTCAAAATAATGCTCTAGGGTATTCCTAGTGTCAAGCTACGAGTTAGGTAATTCTAGGAAACTTCGATCCCTGTTTGGGGAGTCAAAAATACAACAGTTCTCTGTATTGCCTGAAACCAAGACTGGCTCTGAGCTTTTCTGAGTGTTGTGCTTTAAATTGTTATTTCAGTGTTTATCAATATCTGGTTTTAGAAAATATTTAAACCTAAATAGTGTGCCCATACCGCTCTACATAAAATAGGACTGGTTAAATAATTTTGTTCTTTTAAAATAACTCTCCAAAAACTTAACGTTTTCAATCCCAAATCAAATTTAGACCAGATCCTTATCTGTATATTTCTATTGATTTTGAAACAGGTTTTCCTAAAAATAAGACATTGGTATGAGGAGCAAATTAGGATAGATACTGTGTCTAGCTTTCTGTGTATACACAGAAATTAAACATTTATTATTAATGCCTATATTTTAGGAGATGCATGCCTTTAAATATGTGAGTAGCCCTAGGATTTTTCTCATGCTTAAAATTATAAATGTGTTTATGTACTTACTGAATAAGATTCATGGAACTCTCCATGACTTATAGAAGAAAGCGCAAAGAGTTGATGGTTTACTGAAACAAAACTAAACCCCAGAAAATTATCAAAGAAACATCTTGCTAATGAATAAGATAGAAAACTAGAATACTGGTAGTAACAGAAGAAACTCAAAACATTCTGTTTGTTTGGAAAAACCTTTATTTTGAACAACTTAGCCTTGAAAGACAAAGTTACTCTTGTCTTTCAGTAATTTATAAGCAAAACTCAAAATGAAAGGAGACTGAAAAGGCAAAAAACTACAAGATTGTGGTTTTCCTAAGTGCTTTGCAATATATTAGGAATGTCTGAAAGATGCGTTGTATACTTTTATAATTTTGGGGGGCTGTTTCATGCTGTTACACTTGGTTTTCTTCTGCCTTAGAAATATAAGAAATAGCCAGTTGATTCCACCACAAAGACATTCTTTTTCTTGAATATTTCTCAAGTGTTTATTTTAAATAATCGTTAATAAAAATAAAATCGAAAGGAAATAAAGCCTGCATAGAATATTTTTCCTTTTTTAACAGGGAACAGTTCTTGCACAGTCTACACAAATTTGTATCACAGTCTTACAAATTTGTAATCCATTGATTTTTTTCAGGAGAGAGTACACAATCTGTATTGTACAGAGGAAAATTGGAACTGAAGTTCATTTCTCTTTTTGTAGATGACCTATAGACGCTGAATAGAGGGTTTTTGAGGAGAGTTACTATTAGAAAGGTTATTTATAGGCAAAAAGAAGGATTTCATTTATTGTCTGCTGTGGTGAAGTTCAGCTATGGTTACAGGATAAGCTGACGTAGACTTAGCTTTGCAGATGGATATTTGCTGCTGGTGTTGTGTTTTAAGTTTTTAGGAGATCTGGCATTCACAATCTCTGCAGGAATATTTGGCAGCCTACTAATTCATCAATGTCTTGGTTAAGTAAGTCTTAGTCAGGTTCATAACCTAACATATTTTGAGAATCACTTTCAAGTTATAATGAATGAGAGAATACAAGTGGAAAAGTCTCCCAAGTGCTCATTATATTTTTGATCTGACATATCTAACAAATTGATAAACAAGATCCAATCAGGATCCAAACTTCCAAAACGTATCATGTGTCTGCATAATTTAAAGCACAGTAAGTCAACGTCTATTAAGTAAAGGGGCATGTTTCAAATCTAGTTTTTGACATGGGAATCTAGCTACAGAATTAATTGTGTTGGGACGTGTGTCACTATATGCCCCTTTTCTCTAAGACATTTAACAGTATTAGCACAGAAGTACCTCATGCCCAGCATTTCTTCAGCAGATCCCATATCCCTACTGTCCTTGGTGGTATTATGTGCCATATTTTCATATGGATTAACTGTTCTTGAACAATTTCCTCAAAGGGATGAGGCATCAGCAGGTTTTGTTTGAACATCTGGCATTTGTTTCTTCTTATTTTTTTTCATCAGAGTTTTCCTCAGAGACTTTTCCTCTGCAGTTGTCGTTTCCACTAAGGTACATTTACATTGTTCTTGCTGTGCAAAAAAGGGCCTCACAAAAGGCACAAATGACAATATCTCCAGTTCAGAGACTGAATACAGCAGCAAGTAGTCATAGGGAAGTGGCAGTATAAAATAAAAATCTGATTATTATTTGTCTATCTCTGATGTTGTGCAGCATATTGCCCTCAGAACCACAGTCTCACTGAGGAGCAAATTCATTTCAGCTTTCACCAGGTAGCTGTTAGTCCTACAAGTATCATTTACAGAAGTATTTCCATGAAATTAATAAGGAAATTAAGGGACTGTTCATCAGTTTCAGTAAATGATTAGTTACCCTCTGCTTTTATGTCAGCATGGACTCTAAATGTTGTAAGCTGTTTCTGTGTGGAACAAAGCTGGGTTACTGGGACTGGTAAGAGATGCTTCTTACTAGCAATTAAATCCTATTTTTTTAAGCATGGTAGTGTAGTGACATTGTTTTTTTTCTGTTGTTGCTATCATTATTTCGATATAATGTTAGTAGGAGCAGTAATAGTACTAACTATTCCTGACAGTGATGTTTTGTATTGTGGTATTGCCTAGGAGCTCTGATCATTGTCCAGGGCTCTGCCGAGCCAGATGCTACAAAAGCATGAAAGGAAAAAGACAATTCCTCTCCAATGGAAGCATTGTTCTCATATTGCAAAGAAAGGCTAACTCCCCAGGAATAGAGTTCCTTGCTGCGCACTGCATGCATACACAGTAATGTATCGATAGAGCCTGGCTGTGGTCAGAAGAAAGCAAAGAAAATCAGTTCCCTTTTCCATCATCTTCAAGGTGACAGAAGTTGTTTTTCTCCCACACCGAAACAAGGCCAAGCTCTTTCTAGCATTCTCATGAGCACAAATTGGATTTGAGAAAGAACTGCTGCTCTAAGGTGTGGGACACAGGTGCTACTCTAAGGTGTGAGATGATACACGAATGTTAGTTCCTCCTCTGATTCCAAGCAGCATTTGTCATCTCCTGTTCTGGGCAAAGGAGAGACTTAAAAATGGGTCTAATAAATCCTAGAACTTTGAGTCAGAGTCTGTCTCTCTGTGTTTACATCCAACAAAGCATTTGTACAAAAGTGTTAATACTACAACACTCATTTAAACACTTGGCCAAGAAGGTACAACACATTGAACACAATTTTGTTAACAAAGTTCATTCACCAAGAAGGTACAACACATTGAACACAATTCTGTTAACAAAGTTCATTCGTCTCTCATATGCCCATGCTAATCACTCCAGACTGCTGAATGTAGGCGAAGTTTTCTATATTCCTGCTGAGTGGAAGAAGAACCAGCACAATAAATACTGCAAACTGCTCTCTTAGATTAGGATTTCATAAGCAACAGTTGTCTGTGCAGCAGATTCTGAATCCGCCTTTTTGCATAGGTAATGTTGAACATACTGTGGTCACTGCTAGAATTCAGTTATAATTTTCACGGTGCATGAATTACCTGGAGCAGCTATTCGGGAAAACGTACATACTGCTGAGTCCATACACACAGAAAACTGTTTGAGCTCAAGTTACAATTTAATTTCTTTGTAGACTTTGATCAATGGTGAATCTTAGCTTTTATCCATCATGTCTGAAAACTATTATCTTACTTATTAGGAGTGATTTAGTGGGTTAATAAAACTGATATGGCAGCTGGCCCCGTGATAACAAGTTATTGCAAGTCCCTGAACAGCTTAAGCCTATCATTTTCTTATCAGCTATCATTTGTGTCATTGTATGCTAAAACCAGGACTACTAGTTGTGTAGGAACATATGTTACAACAAACCACTGAAATTAAAAGAGGAAAGCAGTTCAGCTTGTTTTTTAAAAGGTTTGTTACAAAAATTGAGAATGAGTTCCTTATGATGACTGGATTAATTTTATTAATTATACAATAGAAAAATAAGTAGTAAAATAAATATATACTGTACACACACATAGAAATATGCATATAAGGAGACAGAAGGAAGGTACTTGAAGTTGTAGGCTAAAGATGTTATCGGTGTGTCTGGGATGGGCATACTACTCTCAACAGGGAGTCAAAAATAAGCTATTCAGCTAATTACTTTGGCTTGTAAGAGAATAAAAATCTTCATATCTTATTACTCTGTGAAGTATGCCAGACAGAGCTTGAAAAGTAGAAGTTACAATTTTTTTCATTGCTTCTGTGTCATGACTGGAAAGCTGTATTTTTTAGTACTAAAAATTCAACTACACAAATCGCTGAAGAAAATCAGAATAACTGCTATGCCTTTAAGACATGTTAAATAGGTATTGAAATATCTATTCTCTACATAACAAAATGTCACAATGGTGAATTCTGGCATCTTGGGGCAGTCCAGAGCAGGAACAAGTATATCGCCTACTACTGGAAACCCGAGAATCCAAATCATACAATAGTTCCTGTTTCTAGCCCAAATATGTTAATATGAATTAAATGTTGAATAATCTAGATATTGAATCCTAACTTTGTAAAGAAGTAATGCTTTTCCTTGCCTCTGGCCCACTCCAACTTTAGCAGGAGGGAATTCCAAATTTCTGGTGAAAGTGTGAAGTTTTATTTTTAGAATTTAAAAAATGACATGGGATTGAAACTGGGAAATTTAGGGGGTTGGAATGAGATGTAGGCAACTGCTTGCTTATGTGGCCAATGACAAATGTGCAGATAACATTGTTAAAGAAGCAGTCACAGCTCTATTTTGTTTTTCATCCTGTTCAATGCACAACCTTTGCAATGTCAAGACTAAGTAAATGCTATTATTTCAAAGAATCCATACATGTATATTTTCAATACCTCTTGTGTCACATCTGAAATTACTTCATTTTAACGAAAGAAGAAAAAATGTTCATGCCTTTAGCATTTGTGTCAGAACTCTGTCAGATATTAGGAATTTCCAGATCCAGGTCTTTGGCCCAAGTCTATCGGTTTAATACTCCTAAAGCAAAAGTAGTGGTTGAAAACCTTCAGGACTTTAATTCACAACATAGGTGACACAGTACTGTATGTGAAACAGAGGACAACTGTCTAGCATTATGGCATTTAATGAAAGGTCCCATTGGCATCCTAAACCACCTTGAGGTGTCACTTTGCTTTGATCAGCCAACTCCAACTTTAATGGATAAAAAGGGAACTGCTATGAGCGGATGGTCCTATGTCTGAGCTTCTGAGTATTAACAGGTATTTAAAAACGGTCAGTTCACCACATCACCACCCCTCAGAAAAATACACTTACAGGGCAAGAAAACTTACCAGGAAAAGGCGAGAAACTTTTGGCCTTCCTGTGGGTCGCCAGGTACTACTGCGATCTAGTGGTGTTATGTAGACTCATCAGTTTCAGGCAAACAGTAAAAGCTATGATGTTTAACAGCAGCCACTTTCTGTCACATGTCTTGGCTGTAAAATCCTGAATGCACGCAACAGTCTGTCCAGAAACAGAATGACTATTTCAGCCGAGATTTTCAAAGCTACCTAGGCTAAGCAAATATATCATCCTAATGAACGTTTTCTTAAATATCATTTGTATCTAATGCCTTTAGTCAGCTTTGTAAATATAAAGCATTTGAGGGTTTTTTTCTTATCTGTGACTGTCCCATATAAGAACCAACAGTAAGATTGTGATTGTTTTTCAATGAGCATCACCAGGAACAGCAGAGATGAGCCGAAAACTTTTGTTTATGTGTTCTATGAACTATTTGCTGGGGGCTTTGTGTCTTAAGAGTGCATTTCTTCAAGCTTTTGAGAAGTTTCAGTGAAATTAGTGCAACGCATTGCAAAGTGTTACCTCTATGTTATGCTTGGTTTACGTGCAATGTACTTGAACTACAAGTGTTATTTTGAAGCAGTTCAGTTAAACCAGCTGCCATGGTGTTTTCAAGCTAACTTTAGTAAAAAAACAAATGATCCTGAGTATACTGTCCGTAACATTCTTAGACAAATTTGGTTTAACACAATCAGTTTTTAAACCTATTGAGTGGAATTTATAAGACAGGGCCTATCACCTTTGATAGATGAACTCAAGCAAACTTTGCTATGACTGGTAAAGAAAGAGCTGCCCCCAGCTTGCTCTCCTGCCCTTATCCTTGAAGGTCACTTCTTTTGTAGCAAAATCAGTGGAAAGTAATAAGTATCTACTGCACAGCCAGTTTTCTTAGCACCAATCCACCCTCTTGAGTGTCTTTGGTTAAGGTGCTGGGCTCAGCACTGCAGAGGCTGAGCAATAGGTACGTTTCCTTCTTCCAGCTCTGTTTGGGAGCAATAATTTCCAGGAGAGCAGCAAGGGAGACAAATGTGGATGAGAACTGCTTAAGCAGCTAAATAATTCAGCAGAGTCGGTCACCCTACAACCTGAGAGAACAATGCATGAATGACATGTTAGCATTTTTAGTTATAGGAGGCTGAACACTAATTTATAGGGTACACCGACGAGTTATTTTGAACTGAAAAGTGGGACTGTCTAAATATAACAGTGGTAAGCCTGATAAAATAAACCTGGTAGATCAAAGCCAGCAGCCTTTCAACAAACAAAGTAAAATGAAAGAGAATGGACATTAGGGAAAAGAGATGTAACATGTTTCTAGGAGATTTGCTGCTCCAGCTACGTTCTTGTAAGAGAGTGAGTGTTTTAAATTTAAAGAAGATCCCAGCCTTGAATTTTGGATCAAATCATGACAATACTGTTTTCTATGAGACCAGATTTTGTTCCATGTCAGTGAAAGGAATTGGTAGACACTGTTAAGAAAAGTTTTGAGAAAGCATTGAAAATCAATTTGACAGTTTGCTTTACTTGACACGTCGCTCATAAACACTCCTCTTTTTTTTCCACAGGTATCACTATTATGGAATTGGCATTAAAGAAAGTAGTGCATATTACCACTCTGTGTATTCTGGAAAAGGCTTAACCAGGTACAGTAACATAACTTCTGAGCTTTAGTCAGGTCTAACTTTCACCTTGTCTTAGGAAGGTATTTGTAGGACAGTAATTGTTGTTGATGCCAGAACTAGTATTGCTGCATATCTCAATGTCTGGCATTCCCAGATTTAGGTAGCAGTTTTCTCCCTGAAGACATGGATTTTGTTTTAACAGGTTGATCTAGATCTTTTGCTAGTATCATCCAGTATGGCCCCACCTCAGTCAGTGTAGAGCTGCATCGACTTATACCAGCAGAGGCTTTGTTCAAGGTAGTGTAAGGCAGCAAAACACCATTTCCAGAACGCTTGTCTCATTTTGTTTGCTTGTGTGTCACCCTCTGAGTTCTTTCCCCAGGACAGCTTTCCATTATGAAACGTCTGGAGAATGGTGTGAAGCTGGCACCTGTGGGCAGGAGGGAGGGGTCAGTGTAGATTAATATTTACAGGTCCTTTGACTGGCTAATATCAGTTTAAACCTAACCCAGGAAGCTCTAATTATATTTATTTAAGGGACAGCTAGCAGGATCAATACATTACGATAGCTGCCTGTTGGTTTGCCAAAGATTAATAGTTCGTAAAACAAATGTCTCTGTTCACATATGGCTTGAATGACGGCTTTCATTGTCTACGGCAGTATACCTGTGTAAGTGGGGACTCTGAGAAAGGAAAGGAATAAATGAGTTTAAAATCACACATAGAAAAATCAGCTGCTGGCAGATTTAGGTTATATCCAAAGAGACTTTTCCCAAACAATAGGACAAATGTGAAAATCGAGGGTAACGTTGCCAATGATGCTTAAAAGGAGGGATCTCTCCACTGCAGGACTTAAGGTATAATAGACTGGAATATGCTATTTCCTTGTCCAGTATCTATCCAGAGCTGCGGAGGTGTTGCTGGTACACCGTGAGAAGAGGTTCTTTCATAATACAGAATTATCTTGAACAAATTGCTCATTTAATTGACGAAAAGACAGTTATTTTCATTTAAGGGTATATAATCACTCTTAGTCCTCAGCTTTATGTCAGCCAGTGCCCTTTTCATGTAAAGCTCTTGTCCTTGCACAATCTAGCAGCAATGAATGCAAAGAAAGTGGAGGTTCTGCAAAATTCCCCACAGCTGGAATTCCAGTGGTATACGCTCGCATAAAAATGGCATAGATACTCTCTAAGATTTTCAGGAGTACTCACTAGATTCACTAGTTAGGAACCTTTTCTTTGTGTTAGGACTTGTGCTGCCATGTATAAGATGTTGAATTTTCAGGGTCCAGCAGTCAAATTGCCTCCCTAGCTGATTTGGAACAGAAGCTCAAATGCTCATTTTGCACAGTCTGGGTCATCACTGTGGTTGGATTTGTCTGTGTGAAGAGAATGACGCAGTAGCCTGGGGTTAAGAACAAGCTTCTGGGTAAGGAAAGTGTCAGGCAGTGCAGGGATTCAAAATTGAGAGTGAATCTCCCAGTTGCTGGCTGCTGCATATAATGATCCATCATAAAATCTGTCTTTTGTCTGATGTCTGTTCTGGTAGGTGAGCTATAAAAATGGTTCCTGGATCAAGCTTGGGGCAGAAATAGGCAGGGAAAATATATGGGTTGATAATGGTACCAGAGCACACCATGACCATGCACAAATGTAGGCATATGGAGGCCTTTACCACAAGGCTTGCATGTTAGATGGCAGCTTGTCAAAAGATTAGAAGGAGCAATGGGCCTCAGTTTAGTTGCCTAAATATAGGCCTCTACTACCATTTCAAATTTAATTGGCATTCATGTATTAATATTTAGGTAATTGAGCTGAGTACAATAGTCCTTAAATGCAGGGTTGCAGATGCCTGAATCCTTAAATTCCACTGTAAATTTGACCTCCCGGTTCCTTTAAATATCAAGCCTTGCACTGTGAAAGGAACATACCTAAGACCAAAAATCATTACTATCCACAGCACTGTGTGAAGGGTAGCTTTAGGTAGCAATTAAGACTCTGGAGGAGCAATGCTAGCAGATGCTGCCTCGTGTTTTTGCTGTACATTCTGTGTACATTTTGCTGCACATGTGGAAATCCACAGTCCATAACAAATACATCCAGCTATGAAGCTAATTGGCTCCATGTTGTAATCAACGGAGTGATACCTTCTTTCACACTCATTTATTAACAACCAAGGGAACTCGGTAGGTAACATATGCTGGATAATCATGTGATGGGAACTGTCAGGTGCCTGTGCCTGGCCTGGGCAGGAGGAATTGGGCAACGAGGCTGGTGAGGGGTCTGGAGAACAAGTCTTCTGAGGAGCGGCTGAGGGAACTGGGACTGTTTAGCCTGGAGAAAAGGAGGCTGAGGGGAGACCTCATCGCTCTCTACAACTACCTGAAAGGAGGTTGTAGCGAGGTGGGTGTTGGTCTTTTCTCTGAAGTAACAAGCGATAGGACGAGAGGAAATGGCCTCAAGTTGCGGCAGGGGAGGTTTAGACTGGATGTAAGGAAAAATGTCTTTACTGAAAGAGTGGTTAAACATTGGCACAGGCTGCCCAGGGAAGTGGTGGAGTCCCCATCCCTGGAGGTATTTAAAAGACGTGTAGATGAGGCACTTAGGGACATGGTTTAGTGGGCATGGTGGTGGTGGGTTGACGGTTGGACTCGATGATCTTAGAGGTCTTTTCCAACCTCAATGATTCTATGATTCTATGATTCTATGAATTCCACAACCGCTCAGCCTCTGGTTTCTATCCTGCCGGCAGAGCATCTCAACAGCATGAAATCACAATATTGCCGCTAATAATTATAAGACCTCATGTTGCCCACAGTATCTTATCAGTTGGCAGCTAGCAGAACAGGGAATAACAATAATCAAACAACATTTATCATTATACTGATCCATTAGAATCTCTATCATTACACATTCTCTAGTTTAGTAGTTATAATTTAAAATGTGTGCTTTCTAATTTCTGCACTGAAGAGTTGCCTGATAGTCCAATGACTTCATTGGCAATCTCCGCGTTGGACTCTTAATAGGACATTCTGCACTATACTGCAACATGTTTTTGACAGTTAATGAATCTTTGATCTCAGAAATGCATTTCACCTGCATCAAAATAATACTGTGGTGAAAAAGAATGGAAAATTGCTATGATTTCTTCATTTTCCTGAGAATTGCAAATTCTAGATATATTTTTTCTACTCTGAATTTACTCAGTGGTATCAAAAATTTTATGTATTTCCTGGTAAAGACCTTATGGACTTGCACCTATGCTGCCCTTTTGATATTTGTGAAGTTGCAAAGACCCAAAGAAAAAACTGAAACTGGGTTTTATACTTTGCTGTTTGGTCAATGATCTGAATCTTCATGTTTTAGAAGACATCAGTAGGTTTCCCAATATACTCAGGCACTTGCAAACCAATGGAAGAAGTTAAGAAAAAAGCATGATTTTGATTATAATTATATTTGGAGAAATGTGATCATTTTTCTAATGGATCTATTTTATATATCTGTATCATTTTATATATATATACACAAACTCTAAAAATGTTTTGCTTGTGAAAAAATAATCAAACGTGTTTATTTTCAAAGGTTCTCTGGAAGCAAGTTAAAGAATGAGGTAAGTGCTGTAGTCTGTTTCCTTTCACTTCTGTTATAATCCAAATATTATGTGACCTGTGGTTTTCTTCACATTAATTTCTTTGAGAATTACAGCAATATTTTTCATTAAAGATTAGACTGTATAACCTTTTTTTCATGAAGCTGAGTATTTGCTCCTCTAAATATTCAAAGGAAAATAAGATTGGAAGGCACCTTCTGGGGTTCCTGTTCCAGTCCAGTTCCCCATAACCACAGAGGTTCATAATAGACCCTCTTAAGCAAAGGGTCAAGCTCTAGCTTATTTTTTTGCATCCATTACTTTTGCGGGAGGGCTTTTTCAGAACCTCATTTGTCTGATTGGAAGCCAGAAGATGTTTTTTGGAATAAACTGGTTTTTATACCTCCTGGTCAGGGTTGCCTTTCTCTATTTCTTGCTCTTCGTGACATTTTCCTGCGATACGTCTTTTCGCTGCTTTTGCTTGCTAGATGGAACAAGCAGCAGCTTTTGGTTACTTCTGGTCAGCCTTACAGCCTTTCACTGTACTTGTTCCGATTTGAATATCTTTATAGAAAAAAAATCAGGCTTAAAGTCTTGTAAATGGCATGTCTCTCATTTCTATTGGAAATATCCCTTCTGATGAACCCTAGAACTGCGTTTGGTTTTTGTTTGTTGGCTTTTTTTCCCCCACAGGTAGCCTACATTTTCACTGTTGTATACTATGGTATAGTCACTGTCATTCTGGTTATATTTATACTAGAAAATTATGGATTATTGTACATTAAGGTTAAGGATCGCTCCCAGGATTGTTCTTTGACACTGAGTTCAACTGGCATGGAATAGCCTGCATCCATATTATTAAACTCCTGAACCCACAAAACAACATAGGCACATCTCAGCCACATTGCCATGGAGAAAAGTCCCTAGCATGCAGTAACTGTTGAAGCATGACATGAAATTGTTCGGGAGACTGCTAACTGACATGGGCCAAAAGAATGCCAGGGGCCATTCTGAATCATACTGTTCCAGTATTACCTGGGAATGTTTTCTGACACCGTTTAATTTACCAGACTAAATATACCCTCTGTGATCAACTGATACACAGCAAGTCTTTCTCCTTTTTCGTTTCCAGATAAACAACTCCTAGCTGATAGCAGAAATTCTTATTGGTCCCTGAGAGAGTAGCTTTGCTCTATTGATTTTCATCCCCTTTATTGCCATTATCTCAAAGCCATCCAGATATTTCTACATGACCTCTTGGTCTTCCTCTTTACTGATGATTTCATTAGCTCATGTCAGCCAATTTAATCTATGAAATGTTCAATGAGATCAGCCCCAGGTCTGATCTTTGTGAATCTTCACTTCAATCCCTTTTCAAGCCAGTAGTTTCCCTGTCAACACAACTTGTTAGCACTTCAGCTGGAGTCCGTTTCTTAAACATTTTACATTCTTGTACTAATCCCCATTCTCACCAGCATAACTAATCATTTCCCATGGTGACACCACGTCAAGTATTTTAGTGAGGTTCAGGTAGATTAGATCTGCTGCATTTTCCCTGTTCAGATAACCAGCTATCTTATCAAAGAAAGATAGTGCTATGCCATGGGATATCCCCAGCGTATTCAAGGATTCATGAGCACTACTACAGCATTCATTCTTTAAAAGTTTTGGGATGGAAAATTTCTGGTTCCCTTGGCATAAATGAATGCACATTTACTTCCATCTCTGAGGTGGCATTCCCAGTCTGCTTGGAAATTGACAGTCCCATAAACCTGTCTTGTTTCTGCCTCAAAGTTCAATACCTTTGTCCTCCCAGAAAAAGAACCACAGAGAAGTCAGTGGAAATAAGTGAGAAAGGGCACATCAGTATGAGTTTTTGATTGGCTAGCTCTGTGTTGTCTGAAATTATTCAGGCAGGTTTTAAAAGTAAAAAGCTGCTTTCATGGTCAAAACTGAATTTTAACCATCTCAGTGTACTGAAAATTTGGCATCATACTTTCCATTAAAATGAACAGGTGATATATCCTTATTCATTTGCTTGAAAATACATGCAATTAGGTATTCCAGAAAGATTTACAATGATTGCATAAGGTGTAATTCTCAGTAGAAACATAAAGACATTGAAAAGATGTTAAAGCACTGATTGTCTAAATATACTGAGTAAATGGCATTTGAATGAACACTTATTGAGTGTCAGGGACACTGTTTACTTCTGGTATGTTTTATCACATTTTCTAGTATTCTCTCTGTAGGGGGAGATATCAGCAAATTCTTTTATCTAAACCAGTTAGTGCACCATTAGAGTCTGCATGGTTAATTAGGCAGGTAATATTACTGTCATTATCTTAATGTTAAATGGCCATTAGAAACAGATGGCATTAAATTGAAAGGGCAAGTGGCAGTGGGTTAAAATAGTAAGCCTAGAACTGAGGCACAGTCATATAAGTCCATTAGCAAGGTAAAAAACATTACAGATTATCTTCTCTAACCCCCCCCCCCGCCATCACTGCCTTCTTTTAAATGAACTAATCGCTTTTAATCAGAGCTTTTAATATATTTCTTGGGTAATTGCATAATAAAATAATTGAGATTACTCCTGTTATTAAAAAAAAACAAACCTCCTGATACTGATAGGCAATTATAAAACTGCAAAATATTGACATGAAGAAGTACTAATGTTTCTAAATTTCTACAATTTCTTTGACTTAAAGCTTTATGTGTATTTGAATAGTAGATAGCACAGGCAAAGTGTGTTTATATAATGTATGCTTTCTTTCCTTGCTGTCTGTTTTGGCAGACATCTCACCCTATAAAAATAGGGATATATATATGGTGAATACGTCAGTTACAGCTATAGTTTTCTGAATTCAGTATTTGACAGAATTTCACTTGAAACTGGCCTCCAATTCATGAGTCAACATCTATAGGAAAATACTCCCTTTTGCACACTTTTACACTATATGTTACAATATATACCTACTATTCCCACTTCAGTGAAATCTGTGTGCAAAGGGAAAGGAAAAGGGAAAGCCTAGGAAAAGCCTAGGAAAAGGCCACTTCAAGTACCAATCAAATGCCTCATGCATGGTCATAAATACCATCCATTAGTACAAAGGGAATCTGCACAGAAGTAGTGGATTTACCACAGGAATATGCAGAAGGCCTGCTCACGGCTCCGTACACTGCCTTGACATAAGGACTGGGTGGGCTAAAATGGAACAAAGGGTTTCAGCCAAATAGTCTTCTCTAGCTTTGAACGCAATCCTATGAGAATAAGTACAATGCAGTCAGTAAGGACAGAGTCATAATCCAGATTTTATTGCTTCTCTTGAGGATGAGGGTTTCATCTTAATTATATCATTTGAGAGCTTAATAAGCGTAATGTGGTGTGCATTATAAATATAAGCATAGTAACACTATATCACTACAGAATGTTACTGCTTAGCTTTACTGAGAAGTAGACTAAATCAGATTTTGTGAGAGTATTAGGTTAAGAGTCTAAACAAGGGTAGATTTACCATATATTGCTTCACGGTCAGTATCCACACATACAAGGATGCTTCTTGTTTCATCCTTCAATCCCATTGCTCCAAAGGCTAGCATCTAATAATTATTCAAGATCTTTTCTCAGTCTGTAACTAGTACAAGATGTGTCTACGATATTTCAGATGTCACAAGCTAAAGAGGCTTAAGAGGTGAACTCTGAGAACTAAAAGAAACTCTCAGATCAGCAGAATTCAGCATAATTCAGGAGGAATTTATTTTGTCTCCAGATCAGCATTGACCGTGTCTCAAGAAAGTAACTGGAGAACACTAAACGGCTGGGAATATCATTCTTATTGAGATATGAAACTGGGGCTTCATGTCAAGTCTGTCACAATCAGAGAGAGCTATATAATAAATACGTAGTTCAGAAGTGTCCATAGACCCTACATACCATCACATCCATAATACCATAAAATGTTATCAAACTTTATGATAAACTAAAATAGCGGTTACCATAGTAAAACAGCAGAAATCGCTATTGCCGTGCTATCAGAGCAGGAAGAGAGCAGGGAAGAAAAATAATATCTCCAGTACCCTAGATCTTTGCACTAGAAAGATATACACAAAATAAAACTTAGCGTCTCCCTGAGGATATCACAGTCCGTACTGTAGAAGAGAGCAGTATTCTACTTCAGTTTTTAAACATAGATTAAATCCAAAGCTTGTAGAATTCCATGAAGTAATGTGGCTCAAAGGCTGCATCACTCTGAAAACTGTATTTGGTGGAGTTTAGATCTAGGCACATACTTAATTGCCTTCCTGGGCTGGAATCCAGATCTGGATAAGCATCAGTATTTTGGAAGGATTATCTGAATGTAAATATTCTGGAACGTTGAGAGACTCATGAGATAATATGCAAGTTTAGCATGAATTGTTGGTTTCAGTTGAATCTATATTAGCTATTTCAGTGTTCCTGTTTTTTCCCTTCCATTTCAGGGCGGTTTCACTCGTAAATATTCTCTGAGTTCCAAAACTGGAACGCTCCTCCCAGAGTTTCCAAGTGCTCAACACCTTTTGCTTCAAGGGTGCATTTCTAAAGACAAGGTAAAATGTGAGCTACTTCTTTTCCAGCTTGCAGATCAAAAATTGCCACAGAATGTTTCTTCATATCTTAGCCTTTGAGGTATTGACATGAAAGAGCCAGAAATGTCCATAATCAAACAGAGGTGACTGATTTATAGAGGGGGCAAACCTTTACTAACACCGATTAACTGGCTTTCCACTGGAAAGGTGGTTGAATTATTTACCTATTAACTGACCTAGTATTTTACAAACTGATGGTATGTAAGACGGGGAGAGCAAAACAAACAAATAACTGAGTCGTGTTCATTCCAAATGCCTTTGGATTTAAGGTAAATTTTGTTCTGATTAGATCAGAACAAATAATTCACAACAAATAATTAGATGAACTTTACTCTCATTCATTAATGGTTTGAAAAGAGACTGTGAAAATCTGAGCATATTTTTTTTTAAATTAGTAAAATCATATTCCTCAAATCAATACTCAGTATTGCTTATCCTAAGGGTAACTGTTCAGTTAGAAGTATTGCTGGCATATGTTTTATGTCTTTGACTCCTTGCCTGTATGTTATGTCTCTGTTGTTTCTGGTCACATTACAGGCTGCTACATCCCTGAACTGTGCTAGAAACCTTTTGGTACACATTGTGAGCTCTCCAGTTTAGGCTCCAGTACAGCTCATGATGGTGGCTGTCTTGAGATATGTTGCTTTAAAGCTTTTTGTTTTATGATCCCTTCCTCTTAAGTTTGTTCTGTGAAAGTAGTGAAGCCTAGGATTCCTGTTGTGAGGAGCTAATTAAAAGAAGCCGTCTGTAGTACAGAGATCTTAGCTGGAAATCTTACAGTTCCTAAAGAAAGCCCAAGAACTGGTGTACTCAGCAGCGTGCATCACCTGCTGCTATAGTCTCCGTCAGTGAATTGGCACCGCTCATATATACAGCATTCTCATAACAATTAAATCCGAAGAGCATTTGGAGTTCCTTGCAGACCCGACACAGCAGTGTAAGCAAAACTGAGTTTTACCACTCCAACAATGAAGAAAAAGATGCAACTCATTTTCTCTTCATTTTTGGGTCAGGAGCATGTAATTGCTCTGATGTTGGGACCAGATGATGGGAAGGCCCAGCAGGGCTTTGTGGGTGACTCTGTCTGGGGACAGACTCATGGAGTTATGAGGAGACTGTGGGAAGAGACATGAATTTCTGTGTGTCTCCCTCTCTCTCTTTCCTTGCTGCTCTTTCCTCATTCTTTGTTCTCTTATTTCCTGTTTTCTTTCCTTACTGTCTTTCTCCTTCTTCAGCTTATCTGACGAAGGGTTATTGAACCTAAGATATTTAGGTGCTCTGTTGAAGAGAGCCCGTACATGAAGTTTGACTCCTGCATTAAACTCCTAAGAAATTGCATGCAACTGAAGTCTCTGGAGAGTCCATAAATGTAGCAGTCTGTACTAAAATAGATTGATAATTTCTGCATTTTATGTTTCTGAAGAACTTACCCAAACTTTAAACTTCCATCAACCCCTTCCAAAAAAATTCTTTAAAGTGTTCTTGAATCTCACCCTTTGCCATTGTTTTTCAAAGATATGTAGTTACAGAAGCAGCTCTGAAAGTCAGCACGGTCTGTTTTGAAAGAAATCTGTATGCTAAACCTATTGAAATAAGGTGGTACTAGGTTCATTCGAAACTTGATATTGGTTTGCCGGAGAAGTTCACAAGCTGTAACAAACTTTCTGTGATTCTGGACCCTAAGAATGGTTTTGCTAGCATTTTTCTTTCCTTAAGATACTTTACAAAATTCTTGTTCTATAATTTGCTACAAATTTAAAAATTTACTACCATTTTTTACAAAGTATTGTAATACCTCTGCACAGTTATTAAAATAAGGGAACACACCACTCAGATAAATTAGCCTGGTGAGATGAAAGGAAGTTTTGCTTTTTAAAGTTCAGTTCTTGTAAGGCAGTGATTAAACTTTGACCAAATGACTGGCAGCTATTTTCTCATTTGTCCAACTTGATGATGTTTCAGAACACTCATAGACGCCTATAGTAGCCTAATGATTAACTTGCACTACTCTTTGGGATTAATCTTAGCTTCAGAAAGGTGAATTTACTTTACCATCTGACTGACTAATCTAGCTATTGCCTGACTTTGATATCCACATTTTCACAGTGTATACAGATTCAGACGCTACATTTCTGACAACAGCATTGAGACTTAAAGATGTCGATAAAAACTAGAGATGAGTGACCTCCTCATCACTTCTGGATTGTACAGACTGCCTATTTGTAAATATGCATTGTAATGCAGTTTATATTCTATATTTAAATACTAGCTACAGAAAGCAGAAGCCTAGATCACTATAGCAGTAAAGGAGAGAGCTAAGAAACTCTGTTTAATCTTTCTTTCTTCCAAAATAGGTAGATACTCTTATCATGATGTACAAAACACACTGTCAGTGTGTCCTTGACAATGCAATTAATGGGAACTTTGAAGAGGTAAGGTTGTTTGAACACACATTCTTGGTATATATGCACAGGGAGCCAAGAAAGCATTATTTATGTCCATGAATCTGGTTCCTACTCCTTTAGATTCAGCATTTCTTACTACATTTTTGGAAAGGAATGCCTGACCATCTTCTTCCCCTGCTTGAAAATCCCATCATCGTTGACATCTTCTGTGTTTGTGACTCAATACTGTATAAGGTAAGTTAAGCATCTAGCTACATGGATAATCTCAACCACGTTACAGCTTTTGCTTGTGTAAAAACAGCGTTGAAGTTAGAATAACAGGATGCCATGACTGCTTTCTGCCTCTTACCTGTGTAAATCAGCAAAGATTCCACTGAAATCAAGAACGTAAAACTGGCACATGTAAGAGCTGAACGCCAGTCTTAGCTCTACTGCACACTTGATGTGTGACTACAGGCAGCGCACTAATGGTGAAATCCTGACCTACTTGTTTGAATGTAGCTAAAAGAAATGCATGTGTGCTTCACTGACAAGGCTGACTAAGTTAAGCCTGGATGAAAACTGAAGCCTTGTTTTTACTTAAAAGATTATTGCAAAGAGAGTCTGTGGCAGATCAGCGAGGTGATTCCACATGCGAATCTGCTACTCACAGGTTATGTCAGGCCATGGTTTCATGTTACAGAGCTGGAACAATACTGGGTTAAGGTGTTCCTGCCTCTCCTGCCTGCTACACTTCATTTCTGTTCCTATGCTGCTAGATGTACCAGCAAAACTGCTGCACTCTGAACTGGTTTGGGTTTAAAAAAAAAAATCCAAGGAACATTTGTTTTGCAGAGTTTTTGTGCCATATGAGTTCTTTGATCTAGTTCACAGCATGATCACACAAATAGTTGAAATTAAGTAAAAGTAAGGAGTATTGCAAGGTCAGGATTAAGCAATAGAGCACTGGGGTAAAAATAAAGAAAGTAATGCCACCAAAATTTCCTGAGTTTTTAATTTGGAAAATCAGATTGGATCATTAATTAATAGCTGCAAAGTACTTTAAGTTCCTCTGATTGGACATGCCATATAAATAGAAAAGGATTGTCATCCTCTCTCTAACACATTTCACAACCCCATATGAATGGGAAGAAATAACTATTGGCATAACAATAGACACCAGGCAGTCAAAGCAAGAGACTTGGGGCTGTTTAGCACTGAGTGCCTTATTGTAATCTATTTGTCATTCTTTACTGTACAAAAATATGGGGGAAAAATCCAGAAAAGATGAAAATACATATTTCTTAGAAGCATATCAAGCTGTAAAGTAAGAAGAGATATTTTAGTTAGCAGAGTGAAGTAAAGGTGATTAGCATCAGAGATCATAATTACTACCCTGGAGATGAGCCATTAAGCCTCATTTTCTTGCAGAGGTTATATTGTACTCTGAGTTTATGAGTTTTTTCCTGCTCAAAACATATTGTCCCAATAGATCCAATACTAACTTTATTGGTAATAAATATTTAATGTGACAGAAGAAGAAATACTACAGGAGCACTAAATTATAAATTGAATAAGACAGAATTTCTCAAAAGTTTATGAATTTACTATCATGCTTCTTCTTTGTCTCTCACTATTTCTCACTTACAATCACGTTAGATACTCTTGACAGCACAGCTGCTAGAAAGAAGGAGGCATTTTATTGTGTTATTATCAAACCATTTACATTAGCAGTGGAAACAGATTTTTGGGATATAGGCTAACAACTTTGCTCTCTGCAATAACATTCCCCAGAAGGCATGCCGGATGGCACAGTTTTTTACCAAAACAGTTCCACACCACACTTAGCTATAGGGGATTTCTCCTGAACTCTGAACACCTTCAGTGCCACATGCAGTATGGCAGAAAGAAGAGTCACATGGCTAATAGCACTTGAGGACTTGGGAGATGCTTGAGTATCTGCTTTACTGAGACTCACAGTGATGCTAGAAAAGACAAAATGTTTATGCATCTCACTTCTACTGATTTCCCTACTGTAAGACATGAGTGATAGCACTTCCTTGTTTTACTGGCATGCTGGCATACGTTAAGAATGGGAGCTATCTAGGTATATAAATATCTCACATGTTCCTATCTAATAGTGATGGGAGAAATCTAATCATAGAATCATAGAATAGTTTGCGTTGGAAGGGACCTCTAAAGGTCATCTAGTCCAACCCCCCTGCCGTGGGCAGGGACATCTTCAACTAGATCAGGTTGCTCAGAGCCCCGTCCAACCCCACCTTGAATGTTTCCAGGGATGGGGCATCCATCACCTCTCTGGGCAACCTGGGTATATAAATATCAGGACAATAGGTCGAATGGCTTTATTCTGTATAAATTTCCTGTCCTTGTCACTTTGCAATCTAAGTAGACAAGACAGACATGAATGAATAAATGGCCAGTGGAAGCTTGATACCATTTTCTGTTACTTTTTTGAAGGTCCTTACAGATGTACTCATCCCTGCAACAATGCAAGAAATGCCAGAAAGGTAGGTATTTCACAATAATAATGCTACATTCTGTTTGTTAGGCATATTCCAGGTAAATAGCAGAAATTCTATATCCTAGAGAAATTTTGTCACAATATTTATGCTCATTTTTAGAACAGCAGAGTATGTATGGCAAAATACTGTCAGCTCTGAGGACAGCTATAGAACAGCCTTAAAATATTACACAGTATTTTAATGTCCCATTTTACTGGCTTGTTGGATATTTTGAAATAGGTTTCTTCTACACTAAAGCCCTAGAAGGACAAAAAAGAAACAAATGTACTCGTGTTGTTGAAGGAAAAATAATTGTTACCTTTTTTTCAGAATACTTTTCAGGTTTGTATCCTATGCATCACCATAATACCTAAGCATTTTCTCAACAAGACATTAACAAGAGGATTATTATAAGTTACCTTTGAACCTTCTCATCTTTCCTTTCCCTTGAAGGGCATCTTGTTTGGGGTTTTATGTCTGACTAAGGCCTTTAGCTTCAGATATCTCTAACGGTTCTTGGATTTCTTACGGTATATTCTTAAACCTAGTGTTTTTCAACCTAGTTCAGTCGACAGATGGCTTACAGTTTTTCTCAGAGGAGGTACAGATCAATATGTAGTCAATTTTAGCCTCTTGATGATTGGTCATTTCCTGTTTCCTTTTGGTGACACCTGAGGAGTAATTCACAGATATGTCCAGGAGTCTGTTAATCATAGATTGAAACCCAATTATTTAAACTAATGCAAGACAATCTTTATTGATGTTTCTCTAAAACACATTTTTTTCCTATAGTTTACTGGCAGATATAAGAAATTTTGCAAAAAACTGGGAACAGTGGGTTGTTTCCTCTTTGGAAAATCTACCAGAAAACCTGACAGATAAGAAACTGCCTATTGCACGAAGATTTGTTTCCTCGCTGAAACGACAGACGTCATTCCTACACCTAGCACAGGTAAACAGAATAAGACTATACATCCAAACAATTGTCAATTACATTCAGTGCACCTTGCTGCCTATGCGTTATAATGCATTATTTTTTCAAGGTTCAACTTCAGCCATAGAAGACTTGCATCTTGTAGTTTTAACCATGCAAGAAGGAAGTGGCCATAAATAGATCTGACCAAAACTTCAAACTTTTGTAGTAGAAAAGAGAGAAAAGACCATGGTTATAATGAACTACTATCATGGGAACTTTTGGCAATCAAATGATGAAGTGGAATATTTGGTTTAGTTCCAAACTGGAAAATATCAGATGATCCTTCTTGCCTAGCAAAGGTTCTCTGTCTTGTCCATGGTGTCCTTTAGTGAGCTTATTTCTTTTTGAGTTTTGACTGAAAGGAGAATATGGGAGTGACAGGTAGCTGAGGGCTCCAAGGCTGTGTTGGCAGAATACGGGTATCTGCAATTAGTAGGCATCTCCATGTGATGGTTTGGTAGATTATACAAAAGGATACAATGCCTTTCAGGGAACTAAAGTGCTAACAGCTTGGGCTTTGAGGTGGTAGTCCTCATGAATAACTGTAGATGCACCATATGTTCATCTTGACTTAGTTTTCTCTTTCATAAATATTAAGACAGAAGTAGCACATGGGTGACATCGTGAAGATGATCTGATAGGAAGGCACATTAGAAGAGCATTAGAAGCCTAATGGAAGGGAAACATTGTCTCATCTGATCTGCGAAAAACCCAGCCATGATAAGAAAATTAAACAGAATATGATTCTTCTCTGAGGAGTGATTCAGGTGATCCCCAAGTGTGGGTCTGTGCTGGTTTTGGCTGGGATAGAGTTAATTTTCTTCATAGTAGCTAGTATGGGGCTGTGTTTTGGATTTGTGCTGGAAACAGTGTTGATAACACAGGGATGTTTTGGTTACTGCTGAGCAGTGCTTACGCAGAGTCAAGGCCTTTTCTGCTTCTCACACCACCCCACCAGTGAGTAGGTTGGAGGTGCACAAGAAGTTGGGAGGGGACACAGCTGGGACAGCTGACCCCAACTGACCAAAGGGATATTCCACACCATATGACGTCATGCTCAGCAATAAAACTAGGGGGGAGGTTGGTGGGGGGGCTGCTGCTCAGGGACTGGCTGGGCATCGGTCAGTTAGTGGTGAGCAATTGTTTTCATTTGCATCACTTGTCTTTCTTGGGTTGTATTTTTCTCTCTGTTATTTTTTCCCCTTTTCCTTACAACAACAACAACAACAAGAACAACAACAACAAGAATAGAAATAATAATTTTTATTATTATTATTTCTTTTTAAAAAGTTATTAAACTTTTTATCTCAACCCAGGAGTTTTCTTACTTTTACACTTCTGATTCTCTCCCCCATCCCGCCGGGGGTGGGGAGTGAGTGAGTGGCTGTGTGGCTGCTTAGTTGCTGGCTGGGGTTAAACCACGACAGGGTCTCAGCATTTTACCTTGCCTTCTCTTACAGATTGCTCGGCCAGCCCTTTTTGATCAGCATGTGGTGAATTCCATGGTGTCGGATATTGAAAAAGTTGATTTGAATAGTATTGGCTCTCAGGCACTCCTTGCAGTCTCAGGGAGCACAGACTCTGATGGGGAGGTCTACAGTGAATGTAAGTCCATGGTGATATATTTTTATCATTAAAAGTAATTCACTCTTTCATTCCATGCCACACTAGTCTACTTGGAGATGGACTGAGAAAAGGCACACGTAGACACTGCATTCTCTAATCTAGCTCAATGTTAACTTCAGTAGCTTAAGAAAACCAATTGGTTGCCCTAGCATGTCCTACAAGAACAGAAGCTTGTGCTGGGAAGTCATCCCAGCTAGATGACTTTAAATGGCTGCTGAAAAAATCATTTACATGTCAGTTGCTAAGTGTAATAAAATCTTTTTTGAAGTTTTGTCCTAATCATATGGAGATATTAGCACAGATCAATTCTTGAAAGGTGTCTCAAAAATTCCATATCATTATGGCTTAATTTAATGGATATTTGAGCTAGTTTACTTTTTTTTTTGTACGAATAGATTTTTTTTTTGCTGAAAGTTGATCTTTAATTTTCCATAAAGCGTAACAGCTATTTTCATACACAGAATAGAGTGGAGTAAAGTACAGATTCTGAGGCCGTTAATTTTCATATACATACCTGTTGTTGAAAAAAGTTACAGTAATTTTCTCTATTAAAAATATAACTTTTGTCATAGGAATCATGTTGATCAGAGTTTGGAGAGCTGAAAGGAGAGCAATAGCAATGTGTTGTCCTAAATACTGTAGATTTTTTTTTTGCTGAAAGTTGATCTTTAATTTTCCATAAAGCGTAACAGCTATTTTCATACACAGAATAGAGTGGAGTAAAGTACAGATTCTGAGGCCGTTAATTTTCATATACATACCTGTTGTTGAAAAAAGTTACAGTAATTTTCTCTATTAAAAATATAACTTTTGTCATAGGAATCATGTTGATCAGAGTTTGGAGAGCTGAAAGGAGAGCAATAGCAATGTGTTGTCTTCTAAATACTGTTACAATGATCATGAAAGTTTGTTCTCTTTAATGGTTCACAATCCTATTTACATTTTCATTTGAATTGCCCATTTCCTACTTTTTGTGTAATTGTTTTCTATTTTGTTCTTTGTCTTCTTTCACACTGGTTAAAAAAAGAAAAGGAGAAGAGAAATAACTGGTCAATCAGGCACTTTTTCAAAAATGGGAATTGGGGAAGTCAGCTTTCAATTATATTGTGAGAAACTTGTAAAATACAAGGGAAACCTAAGACAGTATACAAGTCTGCCACGTTACAGATAAAGCTTTACTACTAAACTTAGTAATAGAAAGGTTTTCAAGGCTGAATCTTGAAATGAATGGAAAATACCAGAATTTTTTTTGCTTTTATTTTCTTGTAAATCTTCATTGTCTTACAACTTGTATCATTGTAATGCCTAAGTAATTAAAATATATGTGTGTGATGGATGTGTGTCTGCTTGCTTTGCTGGGGAATTGCTCATTTCTTCACTGCTCTAATTCTTTGCTTTTCCTTTCCATGCTACAATACTGTCATATGGCTGGTGAGTGGCTTTTTCTCATGTTCAGAATAGCGTGCAATGATATGTTCTCCTTTTTACATGGTAGATGACTCTATTACAGTGTTCCAAGAACTGAAGGACCTTCTAAAGAAGAATGCCACTGTGGAATCATTTATTGAATGGTTGGATACTGTGGTTGAGCAAAGGGTTATCAAGGTACCTTTCAAATGTTCTGCCTGACTCAAGACCAAATCCTACTCCCCTTACTCCTTACACAGTCCCTTACTTATGCAGTCCCATTGGTTTCCTACATGGGATTCTCATCTCTGCTCCCATCTCCTTATTGTAACAGGGGAGTTCTTAATTTGGTGTGAAAAGTTCCAGTGCCGTTAGTTCTAATTAATCATGTTGAGTGCTGTTGAACAGTCTTATGTGTGTGACAAACTAAGAAGCATCTTAACTAAAACATTACAGTCAGCTCTGTCATAAACTGTACATGAAAGAATGTACATTATCTGTGCATGCAGAATCACGGGACTATTGCCCAGTGAGTAAGGTGAACAAAAGTTGTTCCGTAGAGAAGCAAGTCGTCTTTCTTTCATGGTATTCGGATGGTACTGTATGTGGTATAAGTTAATGTAGCAGATGGATTCAGAAGTAGCTAACCTGTAGAAGGATTTCTGCAGACCAGGGTGGAAGATACAGTTTTGTAGCTTTACAAGGTGCTTAACTCAACAATTGATGGATTTGATGGGATTTTTTTTTCTCCCTGATTTACAAGATGCTTTATAATCATAAGTATTTTATATGCATGTAGTTATACAGGAATGATTACACTATAGTTCAGAACAAAATAATTGAGTTCTGAGTTATAGCTCAAGTAAGAGATATTTACCCAGTTTGTGACTCTAATGAATGTAAACTAGCAGAATAAAATGTTACACATTGCTTGCTAGTAGCTAAACACTGGTCTTCTCATCAGGTCATGTTCTATCTAGAAATGCAATATCTTATCCATCATTTTGGGGAGCATCTTGATATGAATGGATGCAAGAGGAGGAGACAGTGCAGTTAGCTTTGGCTTGCAGAAGGGTGACTGCCTCTTGCAGAATAACCGTGGGCATGTCATTTTTCCTTTCTTCACCTGTTTTCCCAAATTTCAATGGAGACAGTGATAATTTCTTTCTTTTTAAAGCACTCTGAGTTTCCTAATATTTGCTGTCATATGTGAGCAGCACAGTGAGGAGCTTTGGATGATTCAGGGCAGCAGAGCCAAAGCAAGTCCTCATATACACTTACCTAGACACAAAACTCCCACTGAAGCTGAGCAATCACAACTTATTTTAGAACTGAATGATTACGGTCTAAAATTGATTCCACAATTTCAGAAGACAATTCCTGATAAACAAGCCAGGCAGAAAAGGTGAAGCACTCTCCCATTCAGCATCTACTATGTGATACTGTATTATTAAAGTTAACAGGTATGGTTCCTAGCATTGTTTTCCTATAGTTAGGGGTAAGAAATACTACAAGTCCTGATACGCAGCTAGGTCAACTAAGCAGAAGCTAATAATTTACAGAACGTGTAATCCTTCCATTGCTGTCTGCCTTCTGTTCATGCTAAAGTGTGGTTACTGTCAAACTCACACAACAGCTTCTTTCTGCTTGCTGTTTGAGAAAGCAACAGAGCATACGTTACCACACAAACAAATCACTGCCAGAGCAAAGTGACAGTATGAAATGAGCAGCATTAAAAGCGTCAATGTTACGATAGTAAACATACCATTTTGTGAGAGAAAGTCTGGCCGGTATTATACAGATTACATTAAAGTACAAAGATTAATTTCTGTTCCCTGTTTATGTGGAATAACATAGTGCCAGAGGGTGGGTTTTTTTCTTTCTGCCTTGTACACCTGTATATTTACAGAATAATTTGGCACCTTTAATACTAGAATATGAGCTAATTTATATACCTTCGGGGCACAGCAGAGCCCAAGCAGTAAGCAGTTTGCTTTATCTAACATTGTCAGAGCTCTACTCTGGTTGCACTGAAAAGAGTGAATGCTGCTCTTCCGTATCACTTTAGGACACACATTATGAAGACAGTTTGAATCAGGCAGCTTGATCCACCCTGCCACATCAGCCTGAGTCAAGGACTCCTCGAACTCTCAAGCATATTCAGTTCTCCTTTCTTTTCTCCTGTGTGCAGAAAGCAAGTTAGCATACTTAACAGTATTTTACTATTCTCTTTCAGGCAAGCAAGCAAAATGGGAGGTCATTAAAGAAGAGAGCTCAAGACTTCCTTCTCAAATGGAGTTTTTTCGGTGCTCGAGTGATGCATAACCTAACCCTAAACAACGCATCAAGTTTTGGTACCTGCGCTTTGTAAAAACATTCATATTTTGTACATATGTGCTAGTACTTACCAGCTTTCCACCATTTCCTCAGCAGAGGAACCTGTCCTAGTCTAAAGATTCTTTGATCAAAGTCACAAATGCTGTGTAACGTGTTTTTCAAACTAACATTTCACAGTAAATGCTAGCAATATTTTGTTGGTGATCTGTGTCACATGCTCATTTCTCAAAGGTATTTTTCTTTTCAATTGCTGTTTGATACTGCTTTGCCATTTAAGAGCTAGAAGCTCTGTTTGTTTTGATATGGCAATGGAAGTGTAACTGCATATCTCAGTATAGGAGACAGAAGATTTAAATTATTAGTTTTACATGTGGATCAGTTTGGTAAAAAATTACTGCTGTATAGAAGTTCTTCTGCATAGTCTGTTTTCATAAAAGCAAAAGCAATTTGGCAGATCACCACTCATTTAATTCTGGGAACAGCAGACAGTCAATTCAACAGTGTTTGTGGCTTTTAAAAGTTAAGGTTCACATTTCCATCTTTAGAAATGTTTACATTTTAGGGGACTCTCAGAAAGAACCTTTTATAAAATAGAAGATGGTAGAGCAAGTGAAACTCACTTTAAATCTAGTACATAATTTCCTAAGTTTAGTTGTAGGTACATTGTTATCTAAAATTCAGAGGGTATTTGAAATGGCTGTAAGGAGACACACATTTTTAATGTGATATATCCTTGAAATAAGGTCAAAGACTTCACCAGTTATTGTCTGGTTATTTAGCACAAGGCAAACAGAAATAGAGCAGAGGCATTCTAGCAGACTTCGGCCTTATCTAGCTCCACTGTGTGCCCTCTTCAAGTATAAAGCATGTCTCACTTTCATCAGTATTTTTCTTTGATGTAATTAGTGGTCAAATAGCCTACAGGACAGTAAACAATTGAGCTAGGTGGGCCAGTGCAAAGAGAGATTAGAGCTAGAAGTTAGGCACTATTCCTTGTTGGTCTTGCCAGGTCATTTAAAGTCCACAATTATTTGTTTGTTTCACTCGCTTCTTGTAGAGTGGTGAGAGATGGTCACAAAGATAACTCAGCTACTCTCTCTCTTTCTCCTCCAAAAGGTTCTTTTCATTTGATCCGCATGCTGCTAGATGAGTACATCCTGCTCGCCATGGAGACGCAGTTCAACAATGACAAAGAACAAGAACTCCAGAATCTACTGGACAAATACATGAAGAATTTAGGTAACTAGAGCTTGGTTCTTTCGAATGTACTCCTGTATTTTTAGAAATTGACATATTTGCTTAACTGTACACAGAAGCAGGCTTACTATCTTCTCCTGAAGGTGTAGTTATATGCAACATTGTCAAATTCACCTGAAAAGCTGGTGACCATTCACTCAGCAATTCATTCCCACCTTTCTACCATAGTTCACTTAATAACATTTTGTGGGAATGTGAATACACTGGATCACTGAAATGATCTCGGATGCAACGAACACTTGTAGGTACATCTGAAGGGCCACAAGCTGAAGTGTGAAAAGACATATAAGTATCAGAAAGGGCAGGAATTCCTAATCCAGTTTTTCTGCCAAAGCTTAAATATGTAATTACACCTTGAACTAGGAATATATTAAATGTTACCAAAATGCAAATATCCCTGCAAGGTTGGAACACAAGTTTGGAGCCCTATTTAGCATCTGGCTGAAGTATTACTATGTGGAAGAGAAACAAAATGAATTTAAAACAGTATCCTTAACATTTTCCATCTACCAGGCTTCTTAAAGTTTAGACAGTTTGAAGTCATATGCTCCAGGTCCTTTGCTATAAAATGAATGAAGATTGGTTTACATCAAATTCTGGTCCAAGTTAATCCCTAAAAATCCAGTGAAACTCGACTGGGTTCTGCTGAATTATTTTTTATTAATATTAGCACCAGCAATCAATCTTTAACTTTTTGGTTGTTGTTACTCTAAATCTGCACTTTGCTGCAAGAAACTTGCATAGAATTTGTCTGACAGTAGATGCTGCGCTTTTTCTTTTAATTCAGCCTTAAGGAAAAAAACTTGTCCTATGTAGCAGTTGCCTTGTCCTTGGATACTTAGGTGAAGTACTTGAAACCATAAGGTAAAGTCATGGTTTCCACTGAAGAATAGCAAAACTTCCACTGACTTTATCAATAGTCTGCAGAAAACTGAAGAACTACTGAGTATAACAAATGCTTTTCTCTAGATACCAGTATGCAAATAGAGTTCAAGCATTCTAAAATTCCCATTGTTAGTTCTTTAGGATGAAGTCTCATGAGCCTGATTCACTCAGTGCAATTTACTTGACTTCATTGCTGACATTTACTTCAAGGGAATAAATCTGATTCATACCTTCACTATGATGGCTTCAGTGAGGAGCTGATACTCTGTGATGTAGATGTGTGTTCAGGGAATATGATACAAACAGTTCCACTGGGAAGATCAGGACTAGAGCAATGTTTGTATTCATTGGCTACATGCAAAATATGGAGGCTTCACTGGGTTTTAAAATAAGCAACCAAAGATACAAACAAATCAGGCAGCTCATATGCCGTCTATATACTAGTGGTGAATTTATGTGCAACGAGCATACATAACAGCCACCAAGAGTTTTCACTTACTCTTCCAGATGCAAGCAAAGCCACCTTTACCGCATCACCAAGCTCTTGCTTCCTAGCAAATCGTAACAAAGCTGCTCCTTTGCCCAGTGACACTTCAGTCAAAAATGAGTGTCTGGCAGAGCAAACCTACGTGTCCTTGTCAGCTAGCCAGCCCAGCAGTGTACCTTCTGGTCTGAACCCCTTTGCCACAGGAGACAGTGAGAATATGCAGCTGACAGGTATGTATCAATTCTTCTAGCTTCTCCTTCTCTTATTTGCTTCTTAATCTTTCAGTCCACAGTAACATGCTGCTGTAGGAGGACCAATGACCATATGCATTTATAAAGACCTCTAGTAAATAATGTTTCATGAGCTCACCCTCTGAGCTGATTTACAGAAGGCAGCGATTGTAGAGCCCTGCCAGTAATAGATCCTCTTGGAACAATGGTAAAACTGTCCTATACCTCTTGGCTTGGTGAGTTTCTTGTGAGGCAAGAATAAACAGTAACACCTGGAGCACACAAGGCTTGTAACTGCTGGAATTTCTCACTGAATGCGGCAGCCTCCAAGATGGAGAATGAAAGCGGGAAGCTTTATAGCCTGAAGCCATGGATTAAAGAACATGCGTTGTACAGGTGGGGGCCAATGCATATCCTTTGTAAAGGTTTCAAATGGTAACGTACGCTTCACTAGAGGGTTAGTGTCTTAACAGATCTGCTCTATTCAGCAATAGTGCAGTATGAACGCTAATCACGGCTAATGCTTATTTATTCCAGGTCAGATGGAGCTGTCTCAAAGCACTGGTCACCTGATGACTCCACCCATTTCACCAGCCATGGTCAGCCGAGGAAGTGTTATCAACCAGGGGCCAATGGCTGTGAGACCTCCAAGTGTAGGTCCAGTGTTATCCACACATTCACAGTGCTCTTCCTACTCAGAACCCCTTTATCAGACTTTGTCACAAACTAATCAGAATTACTATGGAAACAATTCCAATTACCAGGCTATGTTCAGAACTCAGGCCCATTCCACTTCAGGAGTTTACCACCATAGAGCAGAGCACAGCCGATTCAATGCCTTGAGTGAACAGCAGTTCTCCAGAGACTACTTCAGCAACAGCTGTGCTGTGTCTCCATACAATGCCAGATCTCCTTCCAGCTATGGTCCCTCATCCATGTCTCAGGACACACACAATATGCAGTTTCTGAATACTGGGAGTTTCAATTTCTTGAGCAACTCAGTGTCTACGTGCCCAGGAGCAGCATATCCCGCTAATGCTTCCAACGGTATTAATACGTATTTTCTTTTTTCCTTCTGTTTCTCTTTCCTTGCTGGAGTAAAACACTTTTTATCTGCTTTTTTCTATGGATGTTTTTCAGCTCTTACTTATACCTTCCTGTTTTCCACTTCTCTGATAACACACAGAGATTGTAAAGCAGCTTAACAAGCTACTTCAGGATTTATTTTCCTCTGGTGAATCCTCAGTTGACCTCAAATGCATCTGCTGCACCTATGCTAATCTTCCTTTGGTATCATCGCCATGTCTTGCACGAAGGCAGCAAAACCAGGATGACTTGTGATCTAACAATCTCTTGAAAAGCCCCCAAAACATCTATTATGAAATAGAGCAGGCATAAGATAGCTTACCTCTGCGATCAGCATAATGGAGCATTCTAGTCACAGGGTCAGGATGGTGAAACGAAGTATAAAAATGTGCATTAGCATTAGTTTGAGACTTTGGCCCTAATATTTCTCATACTTCAAATGTAAAGTTATTGCCACAATCTGCTTCAGAGATACAGTCAGCAAAAACACCTCCCTCTTCTGGAGGAAAGACACAGTGGAAATGTTGCTTTTATATGGATTTTTATATGCAGTCAGTATGTATTACCGTGCAGATTTTCTTTCCAGGTATACCTTCCTTGATTGTAAGCTTCAGAAGGGAGCACTGAACTGTGGATAGGAGTCCCCATGGTGTCTCTCATGGCCGCTGGTTGCAGGCTACTGTTTGATACTGAATTTAGAATGGAAGGGCAGTTCTGTACTGAAGGCATGACTGAACCCTTAGGATCTTTTTGCTCCCTTCTTACCACCCCTCTTTTGGGTCAGTCAGTGCATATATTACTGATGTTACTAGGCTGTATGTGTACATAAATAATCTTATTCTCAAGGGACTCTGCCGGTAACAATTACCTTTTGTCCCAGGTTGTCACAGGCTCCTACCCTACCCTTGCTCTTCAACAGTAGTTTCACTCTGCTTTTTTCCAATCTCCTGTTAATAGGATATTATGGAAACAATATAAATTACCCAGAACCTGACAGACTTGGAACAATGGTGGATCAACATGTTTCTGTAATCAGCAGTGTAAGCAGCGTTCGATCATTGCCATCGTACAGTGATATACATGATCCACTGAATATCTTGGATGACAGCGGAAGAAAACAAACGGGCTCATACTACACAGAGTCCTCACCTTCAATTGTCTGTCGGACTCCTATGCGTAAGTATAGCCAACGGCTGAGGAAGAGCTATGAACTTCTTAGCATCCTAGCAAGTGCTGAGTATTAAACTGTAGCTCACATGTATAGTATATGAGATGCAATATAGAGATAAAATAGCTCAGTACTTAGGATGTATCGTAAGATGTATTTTCCTTAAAATTGCAGGACAGTGGGTTTAATAAGTCTTCGCTCCTATAAGGAGGACTATGATTCATTGTCCACGAGGAGTGGAATGACTGGCCTGACTTGCAGAAAAATCTGTATTAGGAAACAATTTCTAACTATTAAGTGAGCTAATAATGGACCGGGCTTTTCTAAGAGCTCTTAAGGATCCTCACTGTCAAAGAGATCAAATGAGCCCTGGGTCAGGGATGTCTAGATGTATACTTCCTGTGGTATAGTCCCTTCCTGTCCTGTGCTTCAACAACTCTGTGTATTAGGCAAAGCTCCCACTGACAGTGAATTTTAGGTGAAATTACCTAACACCAAAGAGTTTGTTTTGGTATATGCATTAAACAAATTGCAGCTGAGTTTGGTCTCACATTCGAAAAAGGGTTGCATGGAAGATACAAACTAGGGCACCATTTGTTTCTCCACAAGATTACCTCTTCCTACTACTTACCTGTTAACCTTGCACAGAAGCTCAGACATTACTTGCTTCATTAAGGCTCTGCAAGTATTCAGTGCTCAGTTCTTTAAAGGATGCTAAAGAGGTGGAAAAAAACCCAGTACCACCACACAGGGGCTGTGCCCATCAAGTATCTTCTGTATTCTGTGTTGATATGTGCCAGGTGGTGGCAGTGGTACCACCAGTGAACATGGACCTGAATGGTGCAAGATATGGAAAGGTGAGCATAGCACACATAAATAGCTTTGCACCAATTTCATAGAAGATGCTCATATGCAAGTCATAAACTTCAGGCCTGTAACTGGATTTTTAGCAGAGTTCACTTAGAATCATAGAATCATTAAGGTTGGAAAAGACCTCTAAGATCATCGAGTCCAACCGTCAGCCTAACACCACCATGTCCACTAAACCATGTCCTTACACACCGCATCTACACGTCTTTTAAATACTTCCAGGGATGGGGACTCCACCACTTCCCTGGG